TGCCCCCACACCCACACCTGCCTGTTTCCTGGTTTTGGGTGGCCGTAAGTTTGGGTGACAGGTTTGGGAACCCCACATCATCCACTCACCTTTGAAGTTGGGTCGAATCCGGGCATCATACCCTGACGTTCGTCCCATGAGCTTGTCCAGGAAATCGGAGGGTGACATGGGCTGGTGAGATCTTCGAGAAGCAGCTTTAATCTCCTCCCGTCCTGAGACCAGCCTGCGGGGCGGAAGAGGTGGGTTAGCTGCCTGCTGGCACCAGAGGTCTGTGGGCACATTTTGGCAGCCCGAGGGGATTTCCAGACACCAGGGTAAGCAGTGGTGCCCGCGCCGCATCCCCTCCAGCGCGGAGTCAGCTCGCTGACCCTGGGACCTCTTCCTCCTTCTGCTGTGACCTTGGGGGCTTCCCCCCTCATCTGCCACAGCCTGAATGCCAGCATGTCCATGTTTTGCCAGCAAAGTCCTTGCCATGGCATTTGGGGCTGGGGGGCATCCTGGTTCCAGGGCTGCAGTGGGGACAGTGGGTGACAGTGGGGACATCTGGGGTCTGTGCTGGTGCTGGAGGAGGCAAGTGAGGAGGGTCCCTCCCGTGTTCAATCACCAACCCCAGCTCGAGTTGCTCAGCAAACCTCCACACCCTGCTGGCACAGACTCGTGGCTTGGGGGGGGGTTTTCCAGCAACCCCCCCCAAGCCATGGGCTGGCCTGGTGAGAGTGAGGAGGTGCCCAGGAGCGCAGCTAGGAGTGTGACACCTTGCCAGGGGCCAAGAAGATGTGGAAGGAGAGGAGCAGCAAAGCCCACCTCTGCGCTGGCCCCGGCGCGGAGCTGACATGCTCTCCCACGTGGCGCTCCCAGTGATGATGGAGACTTATTTAAACTGACCTTGGAGGGGATATTTTTGTGAATGCATCCTAGCCTGCCCGTTTGTCTCCTTCCGTCAGTCTATAATGATCATTTCAAGGAACAATGCGAGAGACATTCATTCACCACATTTCCAGGCGTGTGTCTGTGATGGAGAGGAAACAGCCAGAGACCTCTGGACACAAAGGGAGCTTTGAGCACGCTGCTGGTGCTGCCGCATGCTGCCTCGTAACTCCACCAGGTCCATGCCCAGGTGGGTCCCACTCCTTCTTGGAGCTACAACCTTGTTATCACAAGCAGAAGACGATGCCGGGAGCTGGGACCTCCCGGTGTCCTTGTTTCTACCTCCTTGTATCAACACAACTTGTTCCTATCTCCTATCAGGGAAGCAGGATTCATCCTGGAGGGGCTTGTGTGTCCTTGCCAGCTAGAAATGACTGCAATGCCCCCTGTCAAATGATCCAGCCAGGCAGGTTTTCCCTTAATTGGAGATTGGCAGCAGAGAGTACCCACGACTAGTCCTGGCCGAGAGTAAAACGCTGGGAGAAATTGCCCCTCCAGGAGCTGCATTAGAAAGGTGCCCATTTGGGAGGAAGGCTGTGAGAGACCAGAGAAACACGGTGTTAAATCAGGCCTCTGCCTGCCTCATAGCTGTGAACCATGTCCTCTGCTGGAGAGGAGGATGAGGGTTCTCCCCTGGAGAATGTGGGAGGAAGGCTCCTCTGGCACCTTAGCAGCCAGCTCCTGGAGGAGGCTCGACTAACTTGCCAAGCAGCCGTGGATCTGCGGCTCTGGTGATGCTCGGACCTTGGGGACTGTGGGGGTGCAGAAAAGCCCTGGGTGCAGCCACCTCCAGCAGCATCGCTGGCAGGGCCGTGCTGGCACAGAGTCCCTGGGTCCTGGCTCTTCTCAAGGTTTGGCCGCAGCTCCTCAGTTCAGGCAGTGCCTTCCCTGGGGGACGCTAACCTGGCCTGGGCGCTGCGGGGCTCAGCAAAGTGAGGGGATGGTGGGGCTGGAAAACGCTCACACCTGCTTAAAAAATGCCACCCCTAGACAAACCAGTTTCTGCGTGTGAAGCGATGGCATTTCCATACAATTTTCTCTCTTCCTGTCACAAATGCTGCGGTTCCCAGCCGTGCTGTTCCAGCCGTACAGCCGAGCGGTGGGGGGAGGAGGAGGGGGGGCAAGGAGAAGGCTCAGCTCAGGGACGCTGCAGCCTCCCAACCCCTCCCTTCCATGCATCCCACCTTGTCCCAGGTAGCATCCAAGGCAGCTGGAGAAGGAAAAAAGGACCGAGGGGGGGACTTTTCGTTTTCTGACGAAATGAGCCAAGAGTTGTTCCTGCACCCACGAGACCTGGGATAGCCTGAGCCAGGAGAGGGTCTGGGCATCGCAGGGGCTGTGGAGGAGAA